GGATTCTGTAAAGGTACATAAGATTGTATTGTTATATTAGTAATAGAAATAACTTTAGAAAATTGGAAACAATGTATGATTAAAATGAGGGATAAAATAGTGTAATTTAGTGAAATGTTTGTGAATAAAATAAGTGAAATAAATAAATGAGAAAATTGAATTAGGAAGGAATGGGAACATTTTAATGAGTTAATGTTTTATAAAATATAAGTGAAGAGGGGGGAATTAACTATGGAAAGCTTATAATTGTTCCCATAGAAGTATGATATTTAATTGAAAAGTAATGTGAAAGATGTTAAGACTTTAATGAATATTAATATTAATGATAGAATTGAATTGGAATGGAATGTTGTTTTAATTATATACATTTATAATTTTTTTCTTTTTTTAAGAATACAGTGTGTATTTTAAGAATGTACCAAGCAGAATCCAAATGGAAGTTATGTATTATATTGAATGTTACAACTTTAGGGAAAAGATATAAAGGCCTCATACTCCAATCAGTAACTGCAGGAGAAATTTTTTTTAATGAGAAAAGATAATAGATAATTGAAACAGGACAGACAAAAAATATAAATACAATGATTTGAATTGAGATGAGATAATTAAAATAAAATTGAGAAAATTAAAAGAGGGGAGAAGCTATGCAGAAAATGTAAAATAGTAATAAGATATGGAATAGAATATAAAAATGAGCATGAACCTGAATTTGTGTCTGTACGAAGAAATGTAACCCGGGATTATGCTGCTTTCAAAAAAGATGTTTTTTTGTGTTTTTTTTTCTCTTTGTGAAAACTCAAACAAAATTTACAAAAAAAATTAAAAATTGTTCAATTGTCCCATGGCGAGTTGGCTGTGGCATGTTGCCTGCTGCAAATTCAGAGGTGGGTATTCAGCAGGTACTGACCAGTTCTGGAGAACCAGTAGCGGAAATTTTGAGTAGTTCAGAGAACCAGCAAATACCGCCTCTGACTGGCCCTGCCCCCATCTATTCTCTGCTTCCCATTGAGTCCCAGATGATCGACTGGGTCTTCTTTGGTTGTCCTACATAGGAGAACGGAGCTGGAAAGCTGGTTAGTGGGGTGGGGAGAAATGGGGATTTTACAGTAACCTTCCCCTGCCATGCGTACCAACCCATGCCATGCCACACCCACCAAGCCACGCCCACAGAACCGGTAGTAAAAATATTTGAATCCCACCATTGTGCAAGTTAGCTGTGGTAAGTTTATTTATTTATTTTCATTTGTTTATTTGATTTGTCAATTGCTTACAAAATAATAGGTATAAGTATATACATAGTTATGAATACATGACATGGGTACATAAAAGAAAAATAAAAGAAACAATAGGACAGGGTCGGTAGGCACATTGGTGGGCTTATGCCCACACCCTACAAACCTCTTAGGAAAGGGGTGAGGTCAATAGTAGACAGTCTAAGGTTAAAGTTTTTGGGGTTTGGGGAAGAAACCACAGAGTCAGGTAAAGTATTCCAGACATTGACCACTCTGTTGCTGAAGTCGTATTTCCTGCAATCAAGTTTGGTTGTCCCATTCCCTGCCTCTATCCTGCAGATACGACTTAGTACAGAAGTAATGAGAGCCATGATTTCTTGAGGTATCACTCCAGTGGTCATATGCCCTTTATTAGGAAGGAGAGGGAGAAAGGAAAGGAAATAACCATACAAATTAAAAATGACAGGGGAAAAACAAAACACAACGAACACATTTATAAGAAAGATGACCTACGACTTCCTTTAATACCAAAGAAAATAATTGTACAGCAACCTCTCTCTAAATTTAAGTAGCTAATAATCCTAAAATCCTAACAATCATAAAATGCCAATATTAAAATATTCTTTGCTTAACTGTAATCTAACAGGTATTAAATCATTAAATATAAATAACCCGTGCATTTATAAAACCTATAATATTTCTCTAATCCAATCCAAACTAATCTTCACATTCCAAAATCGGAAGTTGATTTTTCTCCTTATCTTGTAAGAGATCAAACCGTGGTCTTTACATTGCAAGAAATTTAGTCCAGTTATTGTCTCTAAGCCGAGCAGTCGGCTAGCTTCGTGAGTTTCCAAATCCATTCTTCCACTGGGAACAGAGAATAACAGGGTTGGAAGGGATCTTGAAGGTCTTCTAGTCCAATCCCTTCCTCAGGCAGGAAAAAAATCTACCATTTCAGACAAATGGTTGTCCAATCTCTTCTTTAAAATCTCCATATTGGAGCATTCATAACTTCTGGAGGCAAGTTGTTCCACTGATTGTTCTCACTGTCGGGGAAATTCTCATTAGTTCTAGGTTGGACTTCTCCTTGGTTTGTTTCCACATTTTCTTCTTTCCAATTTTGGGCATATCACAACCTAAGGCAATTTTATTTTTATATTTCACGGCAGTTTGATTAGTGAAGGACAAACTTCCTCTAAAATACAGCAGCCGTGTTTTAGAGATACAGCCTTATCCTCTTACTAACCTTAGCTTAAAGGAACTGTAATTTGTCCTTTTATGCCAAGCCATTGTTTCTTTCAAACATCTTCCTTGTGCTATAATTAAAAGTGACTTATTTGATGCACAACATTAAACCCTAAGCTACTGTTTCCTTCAGAAACCCCTGCGGCTGGATGCAGACATCCTGCTAAGTCAAATGGCCTGAATGCAAGATGTGAATCCATTTATTTTTGGTAGAAAGGAAGGAAGGAAGGAAGGAAGGAAGGAAGGAAGGAAGGAAGGAAGGAAGGATAGAGAGAGAGAGAGAAAGAGAGAAAAAGAAAGGAAGGAAAGAAAGACCTGCAGCTAAAGTGAAGTGTTAATACAACTTTATAATGCCTTGGTAAAACCACACTTGGGATATGGCATCCAGTTTTGCTCGCCATGATGTAAAAAAGATGTTGAGACTCTAGAAAGAGTGCAGAGAAGAACAAGGAAGAGTATTAGGGGACTGGAGGCTAAAATATATAAAGAACGGTTGCAGGAACTGGGCTTGCCTAGTGATGAAAAGAAGGTGACATTATGGCAGTCTTTCAATATCTCAGGGGCTACCACAAAGGAGAGAGAGTCAAGCTTTTCTCCCAAGCACCTGAGGGCAGGACAAGAAGCAATGGGTGGAAACTAACCAAGGAGAGAAGCAACTTAGAGCTAAGGAGAAATTTCCTGACAGAACAATTAATCAGTGGAACAACCTGCCTCCAGAAGTTGCAAAGGCTCCAACACTGGAAGTTTTTGAGAAGAGATTGGATAACCATTTGTCTGAAGTGGTGTAGGGTTTCCTTCCTAGGCAGGGGGTTAGACTAGAAGACCTCCAAGGTCCCTTCCAACTTTGTTATTCTATTCTATTCTATTCTGTATTCTGTATTCTATATTCTATTCTATTCTGTTCTATCATGAAGTGTGGATAGGCAGTGTGTGTAGGCTGGGATTTGTTTGAAAGCACCCAATCCAGCTTTTCACCCCCTTCTCTTGGCGCAGTTTAGGAGAAGGGCATCTGAGCATCCATGTACTCTTAATGAAACCATGTTCATCTCCTTTACTCGGCTAGGGCCTTTGTAAGGCTCCTGACACGTATTAATTATGTGCTCTTTGGAGGCGGTGTTTTGTCTTTTTTGTATGCCAGGCAAACAAGCTTCCTTAAAAGAACAGCTAATTAGTCTTCTTTATCAGGCCCACAGTCGGGAATGGGCAGGGGAGAGCTACGGAGGCTTTGCCAGACAGCCAGAGGATAAATGCAGGCAGCTGGATTGCAAATTTTTACAGAAAAGAAAAAGAAAAAAAAAGTTGATGTGACGATTTGTACTACTAATACTTAAAATGCCACTCATTGCTTGCCTTTCATTGACCCGAATTTTAGAGGGCGAAGGAACTTCTCTCTTTTAGCAGCAAAATACCACTTGTCTTCTTATTCACTGTCTAGAATAGAATAGAATAGAATAGAATAGAATAGAATAGCAGAGTTGGAAGGGACCTTTGAGGTCTTCTAGTCTAACCCCCTGCTTAGGCAGAAGGCCCCCATTTCAGACAAATGGTTGTCCAATCTCTTCTTTAAAATATCCAGTGTTGGAGTATTCACAACTTCTTGAGGTAAATTGTTCCACTGATTAATTGTTCTCACAGTCAAGAAATGTCTCCTTAGTTCTAAGTTGCTTCTCTCCTTGATTAGTTTCCACCCATTGCTTCCTATGCTGCCTTCTGGTGCTTTGGAGAATAGCTTGACTCCCTCTTCTTTGTGGCAGCCCCTGAGATATTGGAAGACTGCTATCATGGTCCTTCTTTTCATTAAACTAGACATACCCAATCCCAGGACCTTGTAGATCATCTAGTCCAACCCACTGATTAATCAGGAGACACCATACTATTTCTGACAAGTGGCTGTCCAGTCCCTTCTTGAAAGCCTCCAGGGATGAAGCACCCACGATTTCTGAAGGCAACTTCTGTTCCATTGGTTGATTGTTCTCACTGTCTTGACAATTTCCCCTTATTTCCAGGTTGAATATCTCCTTGATTCATTTCCATTCATTGTTCCTTTTTCTTTGTTGTTCCAATCATTTTTTGTAAAAACTCTAGAAGACTATCCTTCTCTTCATATTTTTTGGTATTTTTTCTTTCTTCACTATAGTCTTCCTTCCAGTTTCTCCCTCACAGCCATTGCCCTAGCTATGAACTTCCCATTTTGCTGTCATTCAGAGGCCAAGACTGAAAGAGTTGGGCAGATACATTTTATAGTATTGGTTTTCTAATACCTTTCCCCATCCTAGAGATAATCAGAATTTGAACTTTTTAACCTGCAGAATCTACCACTGAGCTATTTTGGGTGTGTGTGCAAACACTCCAGATTGCAACACTCCACCTGCAGATTCAAGTGGTACATTCCATAACGTACTCTTCTACTTGATAGTGATGAAACTTGTTTTCCTTCATATTAAGTTGAATGAATGAATGAATGAATGAACAAACGAATGAATGAACGGTTTCTTCAGCTTTTCAATTTTTTTTTTCCAGCCTTACCCTCAGGGCAACCCACCTCCACCACCAGCTCTCTCCCCGACACAGATGACGCCTGGCATCGCCATCTTGGAACCCCGGCGCCCACCGCACGATTACCTTCCCATCGCCGTCCTCACCACCATCTGCTGCTTCTGGCCCACAGGCATCATTGCTATCATCAAGGCTGTGCAGGTGAGTGGTGTAGGCCTCAGTCCCGCAGGTAGGGTACAGGAGATAGGTTTCCGAATGCAACAGCTGTATTTATTTGTCAGGATGGACATTCAAGGCTGTTTTGCTTCTCAGAAAGCTCATTGTCTAGGACAGTGGGCGCCAACCAGTGGGCCGGGAGCCACTGGTGGTCCGTGAGAAAATTTTGGTGGTCCGCAGAGAAATGTCACCCCGAAAGCACGCTCCCCTCAAAGCAATTAATCCAGGCTGTGCAGGAACACAAAAGCTGCGCTGCCCACATGGCTTGTGGGAGCACAAGGCTTGCATCACTTGCATTGCGAACAACACGAGGTAGTGAGGGGAAGAGGGAAAGGACGGAGGGGGGAACTTGCTCCACTCGCCCCATGTGCCTGGCCTGGGCACCAGGCTGCTTCTTTCTGCTTCTTTCTTCTGCTTTTGGCTGCACGCAAGGAAAGCAGCAAAAGTCTTTCTTTCTCTCCCCCAAACTCCGCCAGAAATGAGTCTTTGGGACCTTGCAAGGCCTCCTGCTCCAAGAGGCTGTGCCGCATAACATGTCTCACAAAGACTCATTTCTGGCGGAGTTTGGGGGAGAGAAAGAAAGACTTCTGCTGCTTCTGCTGCTTTCCTTGCATGAAGCCAAAAGTCTCTCTGGCTTAGGTTGAGAAACACTGATCTGGAGGGAGGTTTTGGTCCCGTAGCTGCCTGTGTTGGTGGTTAGTGAGCAGGACTACAACCTAAATAATACTGTACTGCAGCTTCACTGGAATCCCAAGCATCTTTGTTGCCAAGCACCTTTAAAGTACCAAAGTGTTGAAGGAAATCCTTCTGGAGTAGGGAGCCCCCTTTCCAGATCCAGAAACGTCATGAAATGGCAAGAATCTACTGCACAGAAAAAGGAAATTGATTGAACATATGCCGCATGCACTCCCTGTTCACGCCTGGCTGGCAGTCCTCACCTCCCACACATGTACAGTACTGTACACATTTTGTGGAGTCAAGCGACTTTGTTCTGAAAATAATCCAGGTTTCTGAGGAGCCAGGCAACCATTTTTTCACAGGGGAAGGCCATATTGTGCCCGCCTCCATTTGAAGTGTTGCATTCACCTCACAGATAACAGATAATCAGAGTCGGAGGGGACTTTGTAGGTCATCTAGTCCAACCCCCCCGCCCAAGCAGGAGACCCTACACCATTTCTGACAAATGGCAGTCCAATCTCTTCTTGAAAGTCTCAAGCTGCAAGATTCACTTAACAACTGTGGCAAGTAAGGTCATAAAATGGGAACAAAACTCCCTTCATAACTGTCTCACTTAGTGACACAAATTTTGGGCTCGGTTGGGGTCATAAATCAAGGACTACCTGTATGCTGCTAAAGTGAAGAAAAGAGGAACGTATATCCAGTAGCTAAACAGTCAGGAAACTGTCCTCTTCCCTCACAAGCTTCCATAAGGGAAACTAAAATGGCAGCAAGAATTTCCGGAGTAGAAGATTCATTCATGTGACTAATTGAGATTAATAGACCAGTTTGCTCTCTAGTGGGGTAAGGCATCAGGACTAGAACCGGGAAATTGTGAGTTCTAGTCCTGTTATTTAGGCGTGAAAGCCAGCTGGGTGACTTTGGGCCCGGTCATCCTCTCTCAGCCCAACCCACCTCATAGGTTTGTTGTTGTGTAGGGAAAATAGGAGGAGGAAGGAGTATAGGGCGTGTTTGCTGCCTTGAGTTACTTATAAAAATAAATAATAAGTAAAATAAAACAAATTAATTTCTGTAAGTAAGGAGCGGGGGTTGACACTTAAGAGCAGGGATCCCCAAACTTGGCAAGACTGGTGGACTTCAACTCCCAGAATTCCTCTTCCAGTCATGTTAGCTCAGGAATTCTGGGAGTTGCGGTCCACAAGTCTTAAACTTACCAAGTTTGAAGACCCTTGATTTATGGTCTTCTCTTGATCCTGAAAACTCATTAGGGAGCTTTTGACCAAGAGGTCCAGCATAGCTGGCTGGAGAATTCTGGAAGTTGAAGTCCACAAGTCTCAAAGTTGCCAGGTTTGGAGACTTCTGCGTAAGAGGAAGGCATAGAAGAGCCATTTTCTCCCTCATCCCTGCAGTTAGTAAATGATTCTTTCATCCTTTACACTCCAGCTTTTCCCCTTTGTCGAAGAGCCTGCTAACGGGGAGGCATGTATCGTGCCATGTGCTTCACGTGCTTTGCAGCTGCAGCGCCTGTGTTCTCCTCCTATACCCATACTCCTTGTTCTCTCCCGTCAGGTGCGGACTGCAGTTGCCCGCGGCGACATCGTATCTGCCGAAATTGCCTCCCGGGAGGCCCGCAACTTCTCCTTCATCAGCCTGGCGGTGGGCATCGCCGCCATGGTCCTGTGCACCATCCTTACCGTGGTGATCATCATCGCCGCTCAGCATCATGACAACGACTGGGACCCCTAGCGACTAAGCGCCTCTCTTCGGCCTACTCCTGCACCCTGGCAACTGGTCACAACCGCCCTGGCAATAGCCACTCCCAACCACACACACACCCAGGGGATGGTCCTTGGCAACTACCTCCCCTCCTTCTCCCCTGTCTTCTCCCTTGCCGACGACACTCGGAATGCTTGGCAACCCTTCTCCGCCCACTCCCATCGTCCTTGGCTGTTGTTGGCCTTGCTAGCCGTACCGACTCAGCAAAATGACTTCCAGGTGACGCCATTCAGACGTGCTCCATAAGCTAAGGCTCCTAGCGAAATTGCTTGTCCTCCGCCCGTTCCTTTCCCAGAATACGTTGCTTGCTTCCTTCCTTCCTGAGGAGTAGGCTTCGCCTTCTGTGACCAAGAAATAACCATCTTCCTCCCGCTGTGTTTGCATGCCTAGTGCTGCCCTTGTGTGGACCGGGACGCCAGTGCAGTCCTGGTTAAAGCCCTGTCTCTTGTGCCCCCATCGTTCTTTCCATCGGCTACTTCCCTCCCTCCATTTTTTGCAATAGCTAGAGGCACCCAGTATTTGGAGAGCCCGATTGGCTGTCTTTATCCCGTTTTATCTGAGGTGAGAAAGGAAACTGTTTCTTTCAAGCCAAGGGAAACAAACCACCATCTGTAATTAGGGAGGGCATATATTTTCATACGCTGTTTAGAGATGTTGCATGCAAGCTATAATCCACAGCCTGTTGTTTTTTTTTTAAGTTCTATTTTTCAGGGCTTAAGCATCATTCTTTTTATACCTTTCATTTTGCACCGCCATTCTAACATTTCTTCCTTGGAGAAGACTGTGAACGTTATTATTTTTTTTAAAAAAAAAAACCTCTGTACTTGTTTGATTTCTTCCCATCTGGCTCCAAGCTCTTCAATCCATGTTTTGACATTATCTTAATATCTTCTTAACAAGAGGGGCTTAGAGAATTTTGTTGCCTTTCGGTGACTTCTACTCAATGAGCCAACTCTTTGGCTACTGGCTGATATCCAGGGTCAATGAGGCAAGGCATATTACAGTAAACTTCCAACCATGAAAGAAAGCAAGTTGGGTCAAAGGGCGTAAGAAGAACTGCTAGGCAATTCCTGGATAGTATCAATGCTTCGATAGCAGCCAGCATAATAGTGTCAGAAAACATAGCAAGATCTAGCCAATTGAGAAGACAGAAGGGGTGAGGAGATGAAAAGTAACAGGAGGAGGAACGATGGAACAAAAAGATCCAAGTGTCCGTCAATGGGGGAGGGGTCCAATTCCAGGACCAGGTAAGGTCCAACCTAGAAGAAAATCCGGCGAAGGGTTTCAGAGAAGATGCTATTACAGCATCATATTACTAAATAAAAGAGTAAAGTCTAGCCTGAACATGGTGGTGAGACAATAGGATGGACTACACTCTTAACAGATCAAAAGAAGTGGGAATAATATATTTTTTGTTCCCCGGCTTTAAATCTTAACCATCAAGTCACACTAAGGTAGCACATTAGACAACTGGATTCAGACAAAATTTAGAGCCTTATTTGGCTTGCCACATTTACTTGTCTGATCATCTATTACCCTAACCTACCTCAGGCTTACTTTAAAAAAAAAAAAAAGTGATCCACAGAACAGCCTAATACAGATAGTCCTCAACTTATGGCTTACCAAAAAAAAAGTTCATAAAATTGGGTTGGTCGGGTGACCGATCTGCTTTATGGCCATGATGAGTAGGGTCTATTACGGTCATAACGTGAGGATTCCCTGTAGTAAGCCAAGAGAAGGAATGAGCTCTTCCGGCTATTGCTACCAACTAATTTTTCAGGGAAGATTTGGGGAAAAAAATACTCAAAATTGCAACCCACATCTACGGTCTGTAATCAAACAATGGTCTGTAATCCACCACTTTTGGGACATGCAAATTGATTCTTGGAGACGTTCTATATGACGCCATTAGAAATGGTGGCAGAATCTGACCTTATTTCTGTCTGGAAGTGAATGTAGGATATTTTTGAATACTTTCTTTTCCTATGAATGACCCCCGCAGGTAGTAAATTAGCATAGATGACAAGACCAATACTGTTCCTTTTGAGGTGCTGGTTTATTACATGCAAATAGTTTGATACAAACAGGGGAGAACAATTTACAGAAAGAGCTCCCTTAATTTAACCAATGGACATGAGACAATTGAGACTTTGACACCACGCCTCATTCTGGCCGATAAGTTGATCATTTCTAAGTTGCCATCGGCCAAAATTGGTTGGCTGGTTTAATGGTGCACTTCAGGGATCAGGCATTGGGGAGGCTTCAATACGGAAAAAAGTTTGCATTATTTTGTATTTTTAAGGCCTCCTGTCATCTCCAATCTGTGCCAAATCTCATGTTCTCATAAGAACTTCTCATTCATTCCCCTTTCCTCCCACTCCTCTTTGGATGTTGGACTCTATACTCTTATCTCTGTTTGCAAGTGACATGGTTACAGAATCTCTGTTAATAAAGACTTTGGATTGATTCCCCGGCATCTGATGTAATTGTGTTTACAAGCGGAAGGTTCGATATCCTTTCTCTCACCCCGGTCAACTCTTTCCCACCTCCTTCCCCTCCACTGGCTTACCATCCCCAAGTTCTGCAGTCTCTTAGGAGATGGTTGCTTAGAAACAGCCAAAAAGGGATATGATATGGATTTAAAGCGATCACTGGGAATGTGATAGCCTTAAAAGAGCAAAGAGAGAACTGGAAAAACCTATAATAATAATAGCAAGAAGGGTGGGAGATTTTTGACTTTGATCCACCACAGCAGAAAGAGATTTGGAGATATGGAGCAAAATGCAGATTTCTTTATTAGGCAGAATTGCCACAATTAAAATGAATGTTCTACCCAAACTGCTTTATTTATTCCAAACGATTCCTATATTATTGGATAAATCATTTTTCAAAGCATTGGATAAAATTACTATGAAATTCATATGGGCAGGCAAGAAATCAAGAATTAAGAAAATTTATTTACAAAATAATAAAAGCAGAGGCAGCTTTGCCTGGGAGACCTATTATAAAGCAGCAATATTAACGTGGATAAAGGATTGGATTAAATTGGATAACAAAAGAATTCTAACATTAGAAGGATACGACTTACAAATAGGGTGGCATGCCTTTTTGTGGAACCCGAGTAGTAAAAGTCACTCATACTTCCAGAGACATACTCTACGCAAATCTTTGATAAAAACCTGGTCTGATATTAGGAAAAATCATTATATTAAAGTTCCGTTATGGTTGTCAACAATGGAGGCAATGTTCCACCCTAATACAATGGACATCAGTAAAAAGCTCAAATATTACCAAATTTTAGACAAAGCAGGAAAGCTCAAATCGACCCAAAAAATAATGATTGATCCTATTTCCAAATAGCAATAAGATATGAGAAAGATTTAAAAGAATTCGGAATAGAATCAAAGAGTGCTAAATTTGATAAGATACTTTTGGGCCCAGACAAAAATATGATATCTAAATTATATAATTATCTATTGGAATATGAATTAGCAGAGGAAATTGTGAAAGGACCAATGATAGTGTGGGCAAGAAATTTCGGCCATAATATAAACTTAGAAGACTGGGAAGAAATCTGTGGAGAAATCTTACAATAATTAAATCTGTGCTATATAAAAAGGACTTATATAAAATGATATATAGATGGCATCTAGCACCCTCCAGATTACCAAAAATATATCCAACATCCAATGCAACTTGTTGGAAATGCAAAGGGAACCATGGTACCTACTTCCATCTCTGGTGGATATGCCCAGTGGTCAAAAATTTTTGGATTAAAATCAAAACTTGGGTAGAAGAAATTGTCCAGGGTGGATTGGAGTGGGAACCTAGATTGTATCTTCTGGGTATCCTTAAGGAAGGTTATCCCTCCAAAGTAAAATATTTGATTAGCCATATTCTAACAGCGGCACGTATCTCACTGGCTCAATTTTGGAAATCACCTAATTTACCACCAATACAATTTATTATTCAAAAAATTTGTGGATGTGCAGAAATGGAAAAACTCACACTAAAATTAAAAAGAAAAGAGGAGGCGGAATTTTACTTGACCTGGAATAAGTGGTACGATTGTCTAGAACATAAAAAATACGAAAAGAGGAATCAAGGGGGAAAAATAAACTTATGAAACAGATTTTGATACAATAACAAACAGGAATCGTTAATGTCAGTCTTAGACTTTCTCATACTTTAAACGATCAATAGAAGGAATTCATTGGTAAAAATAAATAAGTATAATCCAACAACAAATATTAACAACAGAACATTATGAAATATTTAACTCGCTGCCAAATGTATTAAAGGAAAGTTTAATTAGTTTTACCAGAGATTATGGTAACATTTGTCTGTATGAATCTTTGTTGTTTGAGTCGGTATATTTGTATATTTTAATTTTTTGTATTCAATAAAGTTGATAAATTTAAAAATAAATAAATAAATAAAATGAGAGGAACTGGAACGCCAAAAGGGCCAATTTTCATACTGATGTAGCAAGCCTGTGTGTGTGATATCCTGTGACATACAGGTAGCTTTCAACTTGTAACATTTCATTTAGTGACCGTCCAAAGTTATAACACCACTGAAAAAAAGAGATGACCATTTTTCACACTTACGACCGTTGCGGGCATCCCCATGGTCACCTGATCAAAATTCAGGTGCTCGGCAACTGCTTCACGTTTATGACAGATGCACTATCCTGGGGTCAAGTGATCAGCTTTTGCGGCCAAAATCAATAGAGAAGGCAGATTCGCTTAACAACTGTGTTAGTAAGAACTGCAATGATTCACTTGGCAACAAATGTCGTAAAGTGGGGTAAAACTTATGTTTCACTTAGCGACATAAATATTGGGCTCCGTTGTGGTCATAAGTCAAGGACTACCTGTATCCAGTCTTATTTTTTCTGTAGGTAAGGAAATCAGAGTGATAAAAGCAAACCGTGTTCGATTTGGGGCAAAAGCACCAAAGTATCATCCTGCCCAGCCATTAAACTTCATAGCAACAGCACTTAGACTTATATACCACTTTGTAGTGCTTTACAGCCCTCTCTGATGGATTTACAGAGTCAGGCATATTGCCCCAAACAATCTGGGTCCTCATTTTACCGACCTCAGAAGGATGGAAAGCTGCGTCCACCTTGAGCAGGCCAGGATCGAACTCCTGGCAGTCGGCAGAGTTAGCCTGCAATATTGCATTTCCAACCACTGTACCCTCACGGCTCATGGTGTCAAGCACCAGCTCCTCTTTCCTGTTGCTCACCTAATCACAATGAAAATGCAACCCGCCCCCCCTTGATGTTGACATGGTCAAAATGGTTTTATTCAAGCAAACATTTTCTGCATGGCTTGAGCCAGTCTAGCATCCCGGGCCCGGATCCTCTCGGTAACCCTGTCTAATTCCCGGCGAGCTGCTCGGTTTCCTGGCTCTACTTGCAAAACTCCTTTGAGGTCTTGCGCTGCCCCCTCCAAGTCGTTCATTGCATCGTAGGCCAAGCCGCGTCGAAACAAAGCCTTGGGGTTGGCCGGCTGGAGCACAAGAGTCTTGGAGCAGTTTTGAGCGGCGTTGGCCGGCTGGTGCAACCGTAGCTGACAGGCAGCCAAGTTGGTGTGAAGCTCGGCCTTGATCTGGTCATAATCCGGGGGAGGAGCAGCCACCACGAGCAAGCGTAAGGCCCGAGCGTAGCGCCTGGCAGCCGCGGCAATGGCTCCCGCCCTGTAAAGCTCACTGCCGCGCTCTTTATTGCTGAGGACCAAGTCCCACTTCTCGCTTGCGCTCATCTCCCAGGAGTCTTTGGCCTCCGTGAAGCTCGCCAACTGGACAGTGATGGTGCCGCCCTCTGACAACCTCAGCTCAGCCCGCTCCCCTGCCAGCATGGTTTCCAAACCACGGTCCACCACACCGTCCCATTCAGCGTCGCCCCCGCCCAGCTCCACTTCGGCCCACCTGGAGGACGGGTAGCTCAAGGGCCCTTCATGACTGGCCTCGATGAAGACTTGGCAGAAGGACCCTTCCTTCGGTTTATCTAAACCTGTCCCGGCCTTGAGGATCAGCTTGACAAAGGTGCCCTCTGGACAAGGCCAGCGTACACCTGTCTGGGACTGGATGGGAAGCGGTTGATTCTCTTTTACCTTGTCTCCAAGATCCTTCTTTTCATCCCCAAGGGAAGCATCTTGGATGTTTTTGTCACAGATAGGGGTTCTCCGGTCCGGCTTCTTGCCTGTTTCCCGTTCTCCAGCAGTCTGGCTCTTCAGAAAAGCTTTCTCTGAGCTTGCCATCCCTTTCTCCTCCACCCTGAGGTTCCACGTCGAGTGATGAGAAAGTCCTGGATCCCATCAAGAGAGAGAATGGGAGTTATTCTAATGTTGAATTGCTAAGAAGATCTTGGAGAGAATAACAAAGGTGGAAGGGACCTTGGAGGTCTTTTAGTCCAACCCGCTCTCCTCAAGCAGGAGACCCTATAGCTGTGATGGCAAACCTACGGCATGTGTGCCACAGGTGGCATGCAGAGCCATTTGTGCCGGCACATGAGCTGCAGGCAAACTTACCTCATTGGGCATGCGTGTGCCTCACAGCTGTTTTTTGGCTGGTTTGAGGCCTTTTTCGGCCTCCCTAAGGCTTGAGGAAGGCTTCTGCAGGCTTCTACAGGCTTTGCAGGCCGAAAACTAGCCCCATGTCATCACTTCCTGTTTTTCTGAAAAAAACGGGGGCTAGTTTTCGGCCTGCAAAGCCTGCAGAAGGCTTCCTGAAGTCTTCGGGAGGCTGAAAAAGGCTTCAAACCGGCTGAAAATCAGCTGTGAGGCGCAGTGCAGGTAAGGGGGTAGCAGGGGTGGGTGGGTAGGGAGCGTGGGGGGGGCGCATTGCCTTCTGAGTGCTGGCACGCAAGTGCAAGTGTGCAAGCGCACGCACAATTTACCATTTCAGTCAAAGGGCTGGCCAGTCTCTTCTAAAAACCTCCAGTGTTGGAGCATCCACAATTTCTGGAGGCAAGTTGTTCCACTGATTAATTGTTCTGTCAGGAAATTTCTCCTTAGTTCTAAGTTAGTTCTCTCTAAAGCAGAGGTCTCATTCTTGCGGCCCGCAGGATGATATCCTGTGGCCCGCACCGTGATATGAAAGTATAATATCCCTTATGAGGCCCAGCCTCACCCAGACTCTGCCTCCAGAGGCCCCCAGGTAAATTGAGTTTGAGATCCCTGCTCTAAAGAATACAGAATACATCTTAGAATACAGAATAAGCTGGAAGGGACCTTAGAGGTCTTCTAGTCCAACTCCCTGCTCAAGCAGGAGATCCTACACCATTTTGGGAGGCAAATTGTCTCACTGATTAATTGTTCACACTGTCAGGAATTAACATATAGAAGTTGACAGATATTGTATTCCCTGCAACAGCCGTAATCCTTCTGTGACTCAGTCCTTTGTATCAAACTAACTAAACCATGGTTTGTGGAATAAACCAACGGGAGTTGTAAAACATACAAAGCCAGAAAACATGGTTCATGGATTGCCCAAGTTGCATTTACACAACATTATACCAGAACCAAACAACATTATAAATCTGTGTACTGTGAGAATCAAACCAAAGTAATTTGTTGGCTAGAAGGGTGGATGCAAACCCAGTTGCTTCCCCACCCCCCCAACAAACCCCATCAAGTTTCACTGTGTGATCTCAAAACTAGGAAACAATGCTTGTCATTTGGTCCATGCCTATAAAACAGGAATAACAGCAGCTTAAATCATAACAATTGTTGTGAAGAAAAACAAAGATGACTAAGCCTCCAAATAGATTATAAAAAGGAAAAAAAAATACCCTAGCAATGATAAAGAAATATAGTTTTTATGGAATCCCCTACTTGTCTTCTCCATTTTATTCAAGCATTTGTTTCTGTGGGATCTGTTAACATTTGCTGCAGTTTCTCCCAGGCAACCAAAAAACCTTCCCAAAAGATCCTCCTTCAACACCAATGGCTTCATAATATTGGTATTTAGTAGCTAGTTTTTAGCTTATCTTCTCTATCATACACACAGACATTTTACACACCCAGTAAAAGACAGTCCCCATTCATCCTCTATCTATTCACTTGCCTTGCACGTGCTTTTCCAACAGGTCACTCCTACACCCATAGTACTGAATGTGTGAAAGTCTGACCAACCCTAAATCCCACCATCCGTCCACCACTAAGATTTACCGTCACACCTCCTTTCTTTTAGGCTTCTTCCTCTGTCCCCACTCTCAGCGCAGGATGGAGAAGACCGCCGTGGCAAGACATGGGGGTGCAATTTAGCTTCTGGCTCCCTTACGTTCTCTAATTTCACTCCACCTTCCTCCCTTCTTTCTCCCTGAAACGTCATTTCCTCAGCAACCACCTGTATCCTAGCAACTATTGTATGTGGAGACTGTTCCTCAAAAGAAGACAGGTTAGAGGCAGGCGGGAATAAAAACCCGGAAAAGTAGGGAAACCCTTTCTGATCCTTCCCTCTCCTCCCTCATTTTGAAGATCCCTCCATCATTTATGGCAGGGGTCTTCAAACTTGGCAGCTTTAAGACTTGTGGACTTCAACTCCCAGAATTCCTCCTCCAGTCATGTTAGCTCAGGAATTCTGGGAGTTGAAGTCCAAAAGTCTTAAAGCTGTCAAGTTTGAAGACCCTTGATTTATGGTCTTCTCTTAATCTTGAAAACTCATTAGGGAGTTTCTGACCAAGGGGTCCAGCAACTGAGATTTAGCAATGACTTTTAAGAGGCCATGGCTTTGATAGATGAGTTCAAAAAGTCCTTGAGATTCCCATCGTTTTGTGATTTGTTTAAATTTGGAGGCATTGTTATCCAGGAGAAAGGTCTGATGAAGATAACAGAGCTTAAGTAGTTGGTTGGTTGATAAGTAAGATGTTAGGGATTGGGACAGATATATGGTCTGAACAAGGAGTTTCTTCACCATTTCAACCCATCTTCAGTGTCACTCTTTCAAGGACATTCCAGCCATCTCTTTTCCTCTATCCATTTTTTCTCCCCAACTTTGACAAGAATAGCAATATTTCTAGTCCTTCATCTACTCACATCATACTCACAAAGTATATGAATTTCAGCTTCCTGATCATTGTCTTTATGACAACGATCTTTGTTTCATCCAGGAATAAATAATGGATTCCTACTATCATATATCTCTCTGTCTCTCTGTCTGTCTCTCTGTGAACATTTGTGAACATACAGCAGGTGTGCATACACACACGTTGATAAATATACTAGCTGGGTACCCGTGCTTCGCTATGAAACTGTGACCGGGCTTAGTTTTTTGGGAAGAAAATAAGGAGAAAAAAAATCCTGCCTTTGCCTACCAGCATCCATCGGTATTCATCTGGCCAGCATCTTGTCAGTGTGTGAGAGAGTTAAGGGCTGTTTGGAAACTGAAATAGTATTTGCTGTGTGAGGAGCAAGGAACCTGGGCGTGGCTTAGCTCAACTGTTCTGTACTAAAGCTGCTTGGTGCTGTGAAACTAAAACTGAAACTCCTCTCCTCTGCTTGTGTTTTGAAGGTGGGGAGGGGGAGTAGAACTCCTTAGCATCAGAGCGTGTTAATAATAATATACGAAATATGAATGCTCTGACTGTCATTTTGAAAAATCCTTTCTTAGTGAGCACCTAGAAACCAACTGTGCCAAATTTCAAGTTTGTGGGCTTTATGGTTCTGGAGATTTTGTGATGATGCGTGAGTGGCATTTCGCTTTTATATATATATGGATTCAAGTAAATATATTGCATAACCCAAACTGGTTAGATCAGTTAACTGATCTTCATTTTTCATGGGGATGGGACAGCCTTTTCCTAATTACACTATATTCTCTATTACATATCTTATTTTTGTTTGTTAGTTGTGTCGTATCTGCCTGAATATAAAATTAAATAATTTCACGCCATCTTTCAGAACAAACCTTTCCCAGGACTCAGCTGACAGCTATTAGAAACTATCTCAGACTGAATGCTGCTTTTGTCTTCTCTCAGATATCAGCTTATTATGAATTTTATTTAGATGCTTAGAATACTTATGTACTAGAATTTTGTCAAGGCAACTGTCAAATAAAACCAAGAAAAATTTGACAGCCCAAGGATACAGTTGCCAATGGTCTTCGTAGGTACAATTGGAGGAAAGGTTAGAATACACTGATAGCCCTTGACTTATAACAGGGGTGTCAAACTCAAGACTCGCGGGCCAGATCTGGCCCAGGGGGTACTTAGATCCGGCCAGGGGTGGGCTTCAAAAATTTCAGCAACGGGTTCTCTGCTTGGTTGCTGGATGGGTGTGGCCATGGTGGGCGTGGCCTAGTCAGCATCCTGCACCAGGGCGGGGCGTTTTCACCTTCCTCAGTCTCTAGAGCCATGTTGGCGAACCTATGGCACGCATGCTGAAGTGACACGCAGAGCCACTTTTGCCGGCATGCGAGAGCTCGCCTGGAAGAGCCCCACTGCACATACCCATGTGCTGCCGCCTGACAGCTGATTGTCGGGTATCTGGTGTGTATGCGCGGAGGGGCAGGGGGCACAGGAGATGCGTGTGCATGTACAGATAGGTGCAGCATGTGGGAGGGGGTATCACGCACGCATTTACAGAGATGCGCGGCATGCAGGGGGATCACACGTGCATGCGCAAAGATGCGCAGGGCACGCAGGGGGTGCTCGCATGCACATGCACATGGCATGCAGCAGGGGAATCATGTGCGCATGCGCAGGGGGTGTGGGGAGGGCCAGCATGCATTGCCTTCTGGGTGCTGGCATGCGAGCATGAGCGCATGAGAGGGCGCACAATTATCATCAAGGGAGCTGAAAAAGGATAGCCACCAATGCTCTAGAGCAGGGGTCCCCAACCACCGGGCTTCGGACCGGTCCCGGTCCGTGGAACATTTCCTACTGGGCCGCCGGTTTGCTGGGCGCCGGCATCTTGTTTGATGAGAAAGTGCTTCCGGGTGAGCTTTTCTGGTTGGAAAGCGGCGTTTGGGTCCTGAAGGAATCCTCGCACCTTAGTTTCATCGAAGGGGAGGGTGTGGCTTCGAACAAAACTAAGGCGCGAGGATTCTTTCAGCACCCAAGGCAAGGCGAGCCGAGCGACTGTCCCGAAGCTACCCTGAAGCGAAGCCCATCGACAAAGGTACAGAGGAGGAGTTGAAGGTGGCGGGGAGAAGCAGGGGACGGCTGGCTGGCCGGTCGCTCGGCTCGCCTTGCCTTGTCATGCGTGCTAATGCCGGTACCGGGCCGCGGATCATTTTGTGATGCCGGTACTGGGCCGCGGCACAAAAAAGGTTGGGGGCCACTGCCTCTGGGAGGGTGAAAATGGCCTTCCCTAGGCTTCCGGAAGGCCTGTTTTTCCCCCTCCCCAAGCCTCCATGCGGGCCCTGCACTTACCTCACATCCAAAACAGGCCGTGTGGAAACTCCTGGGAGGGGTGGGGTGGAAGGGGCCAGCCAGGGGTGGTATTTGGCAGTTCGCCGAACCAGCCATAATGTTAGCAATGGGTTTTCCTGAACCTGGGCAAACCGGTAGCAGGTCGCCCTGGAAACAGTGAAGGACCGGCCTGCGATGCCTCTGCCAGCAAAAATTGGCCCTCCCAAGCTCCGTTTTCACAGCGGGTTCCAGGGGGCCATCGCAGCCGAAAACAGAGCTCAGGAGCCCATTTTCACTACCAGAACCCTTGGCCACCACAGGTGCTCCTGACATGAGTGACATTGAGCTGACCATGCCCCCTGCTCCCCCCCCCCAGGTCAAACACATCCTTGATGTGGCCCTCAATGAAATCGAGTTTGACATCTATGACTTATAACTACTCATTTAGCGACTGTTTGAAGTTACAACAATGTATGTATGTATGTATGTATGTATGTATGGTATTCAGCTTTGTTCGGGTATTTTCCCACATCATTATAGTTGTGCTTTTAAAGTTGTAGCAACGTTTCAGCAGAATCTCATCTGCTATCATCAGGCTTCTGTATTGTGTTCGTCTGTGAGCCAGACTTTTACAGTTGTTTCAGTTTTAAATTTGGAGCTAGCCTACTGCTGTGCCAGAATGGTTTTTTTTTTATCCTGATTGGTTGGGAGTCTTGGTCTGTGTTTATTGGTCTTGGCGTTTGCTGTGTTCTGCTTGATTGGTGTTTCTAATATCTTCTGTCTGTTTTGTGGCTTTTTTTGTCTTGATTGGCTGACAACATTGTGTTCCTGTATTGGAGGCTTTTAGTGCAGCTTGGCTCCGAGTAAATGGACGGCTATCATTTATTAGGAAGCTAGGTTTCATCTGGGTACCTGGTTGGGGTGTGTTTGAGCTGGAAGTATCGGGGGGGGTCTGTTTGTGCCCAGGTGTTTACTTGGCTTGTGGTGTGATTTTTTTTGTTTGTGAGTGCAAAGCTGACTGAGGAATTCTGGGAATTGAAGTCCACAAATCTTAGTGTTGCTAAGGTTGGAGACCCTAGACTAGAAGACCTCCAAGACCCCTTCCAATTCTGTTATTCTTAAATCTATCATACAATGTGGAAAGGATGTGGCTTTCTCCCTTGTTTCCTTTCTTATTGTGAGTCCATACTGTTTCTGTGCTGTCCAGACAGTATATAGTTAATGGGGAATTGGTATAGTTAGGAATTGGGAGCTGTCCCCTTAAGGGAATCCTCCACGGTAAATGTAGTTAAGGTATCCTGGGAAATGTAGTCCATGTCATGTGGCCACATCTGTAATCCTGATTGGTCACTGAATTGACCCTTGATGGGTTGGGGGAGGTTCCTTCACTCTCGCCTGAGCCCAGCATCATGCTGCTGCTTCACCCACTTGCTCCACCATTATCGGAATGAACGGAGAACTATCCTTTTACACCAGAAAGTCAGCTATGCAAAGAGTTGGACATTGAGATGAATCTCGACGTAACCATGAGTTATCTTGAGGTGCCTGATGAACCAATAAAAAGACTTTGTATGGATGCTTTGTGGAGTTATCTGTCTGCTTTTAAAAAAAGGCTAATGGTTGTATGGTCCAGAACAGTTTCTCTAGGAGCTTTTTGTCCTATGTGCTCTGGTTACCATGTTAGGGTATAAATATCAATCAAAGCTTAGAATAATTAGCAAGAGACTACCAATAAGATGCAACTTTATGTTAAATAAAGCATTATGATTCTTCAGCTGTGGTTGGTAAAAGATCTGGATGTCCTAGCAGATCACAGGTTGAACCTAAACCAACAGTGTAATGCAGTTGCAAAAAGGTAAAAGCTATTTTGGGATGTATTACCAGAGGAACAGAAGTGCAGTTCACAGAAATAAATAGGCTTTGCATGGAATACTGTGGCAAAACAGTCTTGAGATATTTGAAGAGTTCTTGTCATATAAAGAAGGGACTCAATTTGTTTTCTCTGCCCACAGAGGGCAGGAATAGAACATAGGTTGGGACTGCAGGGAAGCAGATTCAGGTTGGATATGAAGATGATTTTCCTGATTTAAGACCTGTCAACCAATGGAATATAGTAGATCGGTGTTCCTCAACATTAGCAGTTTTCAGATAACAGATAATCAGAGTTGGAAGGGACCTTGTAGGTCATCTAGTCCAACCCAGCCCAAGCGGGAGACCCTACACCATTTCTGACAGGTGGCAGTCCAATCTCTTCTTGAAAGCCTCAAGTGATGGCGCTCCCACAACTTCCGAGGGCAAAGCTGTTCCATGGGTTGATTGTTCTCCCTGTCAGAAAGTTTCTCCTTATTTCCAGGTTAAATCTCTCCTTGTTCAGTTTCCATCTATTATTCCTTGTCTGGGTGGACTTCAACTCCCAGAATTACCCAGCCAACAATTGCTGGCCAGGGAATTCTGGGAGTTGAAGTCCAGGCATCTGAAAGCAGCCAAGGTTGAGAAATACTGTAGTAGGTTGCCTCTTGAACTGGTATGGTCACCTTCACTTGAAGCTTTTAAACATCTGTTCAAAATACTTTAGCAAAACTTGCACCGAACGGTATTTGGAGCAGATGACCTCCAAGCTCCCTTCCATTTCTGATGCCGATTTTACCCCGCTTCAGCCTTGGCCCATAATTTCCCTTGAGTTAAGCATCCCTGTTTCCGTTTAGCAGGAAACCAAGGTAATTGCATGGAGGCAGTCCTCAACGTACGACCAGAATTGAGCCCGAAATTTCCATGGCTAAGCAAGGCAGATGTCAAGGGAGTTTTGCCCCACCTTACAATCTTTCTTGCCATTGTTGTTAGTGAATTGCTGCAGGGGTTAAGTTAGCAACATGGCTGTTGAGTGAATTTGGCTTCCCCGTTGACTTTGCTTGTCAGAAGGTTTTAAAAGTGATCACATAGAAACTTTTTCCAGTCTTAAACTGGGATGCAATGGCATGAATTGCAGGAAGCAGCAAAATTAAAATCTTGTCAATGAGGAAGAATGATCTGGTTTCATTGTTTCTACAGACATATCTACAATATCTACAGATCCTTCATATCCCGGACATAAACTGTTTCAACTCCTTCCCTCAAAACAACGCTATAGAGCAGTGGTCCCCAACCACCGGGCCCCGGACCGGTACCAGTCCGTGGATCATTTTGTACCAGGTCGCCGGTACTTGGGCGCCGCCATCTTGTTTCAACAGCGCTTGAGAAAGTGCTTCCGGGTGAGCTTGTCGGTTGGTTGGAAAGCGGCGTTTGGGTGCTGAAGGAATCCTCGCGCCTTAGTTTCATCGAAGACGGGGGGTGGCTTCGAATGAAGAGCCGTCCCGATGGTGGCGGAGTCTCGCGTTACTCAGGAGATTAAGAAAAGAGCCTGAAAAGCCCATCGACAAAGGTACAAAGGAGGAGTTGAAGGTGGCGGGGAGAAGCAGGGGACGGCTGGCTGGCTGGTCGCTCAGCTCGCCTTGCCTTGGTCGTGCGTGCTGATGCCGGTACCGGTTCATAGATCATTTTGTGATGCCAGTACCAGGCCGTGGTACAAAAAAGGTTGGGGGCCACTGCTATAGAGCACTGCACACCAGAACAACTAGACCCAAGAACAGTTTTTTCCCGAATGCCATCACTCTGCTAAACAACTCCCACAACACTGTCAAATTACTTAGTAAGACTGTATTACTATTATTCTTCTGATCCTTCTTATTACCTACCTTTTCCCACTTATGACTATAACCGTGTTGCTTGTATCTTTACAATTTATATTGTTTTGTTTTCCCAGTATTTTTTGATTGCGTATGAGTAACCTATGTATGATTATGTTTACCTATGATTATTACTAAGTGTTGTATCTTATGATTCTTGATGAATGTATTTTTTTCCTTTATGTACACTGAGAGCATATGCACCAAAGACAAATTCCTTGTGTGTCCAATCATACTTGGCCAATAAAGAATTCTATTCTATTCTATTCTATTCTATTCTATTCTATTCTATTCTATTCGCATCATGGTTTTTGTTTTCTTTCTTTTGAACCCTTCCTTTATACTCATTCTGGTTAGTTTTTAGACTCCTTTTAATTTTTTTAAAAATTATATAATTAGCATAATGCTGCTAAAAACAAATTAAAGCACTAGGCTGGGTGGGGCTTCTGCCTACAATAATCAAAGTATGCCAACTCTGGGCTTGAGGCTGCAGGGATAATAAAACTACATCTCCCAGAATGCTTCTCTCCGTCCTCCACATCTGCTTCCTCCTTTCCTTTTGACAAAGCCATTTCTGACGCAGAGTAGAGAGCTTTTCAGGCTGACCGCCGCCTATTCAAGAAGATGGTGTGACTCGTAATTGGTGGTAGGTGAAGAGTTTCAAAAGAAAAAAAGGGGGCCAGCACTTGCTTTCTGGGGTGGGTGGGTGGGAGGAGCAGGGGACCCTGACAGGTGAGAAGAGAAAGCTGGCAAGGAATGGGCTTAACCTAAACAGCATTTGGAAATCAAACTCCCAAATTAACTACACAGTAATGTTCCGGTTAGTCCAGATCTTGGAGGACATTCCTGATTTTTTCCTCCCTCTTTCCAATTTAGCCTGCCGTTATGTGGCTAGGAAAATAGCATCGGCCCTGCGCGCTGAGGATGTGGAAGAGACCATGCTGGCTTGCAAGAACCGGACAACTCTAACTGGTGAGACACAGATACCTTCTCTCCCAATAGCCAGCTTCAGTCAGTTGTCAGTGTCTCCTTCGGGAAAAGGGTTCAAGAAAAAGAAAGAAAGAAAAAAACTAGGTTAGGAGCTGGATGGCCCTCATGTGTCTCACTGCTGTGTTGTTTATTTTCTTTTGTAGGTATCTCAAAAAAGCCAGCAGGGTCTGAATCCATTCCTCGCTCAGTCAGCGAAAAATATCCTCATGCGGTTAGGTCCGAAGTCAGAACCCGGGAACCAAACTCCTGATGAAATAAAATAAAAAGGACAGCGGAGCGGGAAAATGACGGCTTGTTTGACGAAATCCTGCAGCTGCAGGAAGTGAACAGTCCTGAGAATCCCTTATTCTGCCCGTCTTTCGTTGTTCCGCTATGAAAATAAATTTAAATAAAGAAGCGTTTCATGCATTTTTTTTAAAAAAAGAGTGAGTGTTTAACAAAAGATGATTTGGCCGCTAATGAGGGGAGTGATTTTGCAATGTAGAATTCAGATTAATTTATTTTTTTTTGACAATATTACAGAGCGATCTGAGATTGGTAGTTTCAGAGATAGGTTTTGGCAAATTGAAGCAATGGAATGGAAACACAATACACTACCTCAGTTTCCCTCCCTCAGAAGATTTAAAAAGTTATTAGGGTTCTTGCAAAAAAAGAATTAAAAGTTTAAAAGATCTATTTTCTTATTTAATAAAGCTCGAGATTTACCAAGCAGGCTTGATGAAAAATAGAGGCGGACTGACATATACTAAAGATTCTTAAAGTTTTCATATTAATTTTTGTTTTAAAGGTTTTAAATGCTATTACAATGAATTTAATGTACATTATAGCATAGATTTATGCTATTTTTGTTATTTATTTTACTTATTTAATAACCTCTTTTTTATTAATAACATATTGTTCTTTTTTACATATACACACATACATATATAGTACAGTCTTCTATCAGTTTAATGCTCCAGGACAAAGAGGAAAAAAAGAACAGAAAAGCATTACAACAAAATTCTCCTTTAACAGTTTTGTTGCAATTTTGTCGTAACTGCAGTTATACGTAGGACGTATTTTGTCATACTGTTTTCTTTTTAACATATTTTAGTAAACAGCATTGACATGTTGTTTTCCATCCCAAAATCCTCAGTTACTAGGCAAATTTTTTCCTTTTTAAATGCTTAAGTTAAAAAAAGCTTTTTCTTATTGCTCTGCAGTCAAGATCTTAATAATGTACAGTAATCATTCAACATCCCACCTACTCAGCACTTGAGGAAAAGAAGGAAATAGAATAGATTAATATGGTTAAAACAATATGAGAAACCAAAGAAGTTTCTTGGATGAGAAGCGAGACATCTTCAAACAAAAAACAGAAAGACCAGTTGCCTCTTGAAAAAAAGCACCTTTGGAATAAATATGAGAAACTATTTATATTTTTCTTGTTAGGCAATACATGCTCACCCACTATACCAGATTTTTCAAAAATTCATGTATATATAATAAAATACAGCCTCCTACTAAAGAAAATTGTTACATAAATAAGAAGAAAGGCCGCTACAGGAACCGGGAAAAGGGTAGCAAAGATTTCATTACATAAAAAGATGGAAGAGTGATAGCTAAGATTTAAACCTTGAAGTCTCACATATAGACACAATGGATTCCTGTATCCTGTAGTTGCTGACCTTCGGCATACATAACACTTACTTTGTTTAAAATATTGTATTTCACTGAGCCCTTCAAGGTTCTGCTGGGAGCCAGAGACTGAGATGGTTGCAGTGTCTCTGTGGTCATGTGATTAATATTCAATATTGCCAATACTTGGCAACCAGGATGTATTTACAAACAACAATTATTACAGCAATCCAGGGGTGACTTTGACCTTCCCAGCCAGGTTTCAACAATCAAAGTCAATGGGGAGCAACCAGTTTTTGTTTAATGACCAAATGCTTAACAACTGCAGTGAGTTGCTTAACAATCTTTGCAAAAAAGATCATAAAATAGGGTGTGACTCACTTAACAACCACCTCAACTTAGCAATGAAAATGTTAGTCCCGATTGTGATTGTAAGGCGAGGACTATCGGTACTCATTGTTTAAGTACAGAACTGCATCTGCCATTTCCTCCCTCCCTAGAATTAACCTTTTTATTCAATCACTCAATCAGAATAGAGCTGGAAGGGACCTTGGAGGTCTTCTAGTCCAGCCCCCTGCTCAAGTAGGAGACCCTATATCGTTTCAGACAAGTGACTGTCCAGTCTCTTCTTAAAAACCTCCAGCGATGAAGCACCCACAACTTCTGAAGGCAAGCTGTTCCATGGGTTAATTTTCCTCACTGTTAGGAAGTTTCTCCTTAGTTTCAGATTGCTTCTCTCCTTGATCAGTTTCCATCCATTGTTTCTTGTCCTGCCTGCAAGTGTATTGGTAAATAAGTTGGCCCCGTCCTCTTTGCAGCAACCACTCAAATACTGGAATACTGCTATCATGTCACTCCTAGGCCTTCTTTTCTCTAGACTGGCTCTACTCAGTTCCTGCAACCATTCTTCATATGTTTTAGTCTCCAGGCCTTTAATCATCTTAGTTGCTCTTCTTTGCACTTTTTCCAGAGTCTCAACATCTTTTTTTGTAATGTGGTGAACAAAACTAGATGCAGTGTTCTAGGTGCGGCCTTACTAAGTCTTTATAAAACGGTATTCATATTTCACATGATTTTGATTCAATGTTCCTGTTCATACAACCAAGGTTTGTATTCTTCCAGCATGCAGGCTTTAATCTATTTTTGAGCACCTTGAAAACAAAATGGCCTTCCTTGTTTTTTGACCATCATTAAGTTGAAGTTTACTAAGTAGAATGGATGATGTGACCCCAATACTTTTCTCTTTTTATAACTCTAAGCCTTCTCTACTTTCAGCCAATAAAGTGATTATGTCTGCACATTTCAGACTGGAAGCATTACCACCTCAATATGATTTCAGCGATCATCTCTTTCAATCGTTCCCTAATAAGATTCACTGCAGAGTTAAACAGGGACAGTGTCAAAACTATGCGGATTACCGTTGGCTTTCCTTTCTTATTGTGAATCACTCTGCTTCTCCAGAGCTTCTCGTCCTATATGTTACAGTTTCTATGCTAAGAGTACAAATATCAAACAACACTAGAATAATTAGTGAGAAACTTAGGATCAGATGCAATCTTACATTAAGGCATTGTGTTTCCTCAATTATGGTTCGTAAAAGATCTGGATGTTCTAGTACATCGCAAATTGAACATGCACCTACAGTGTCGTGCAGTTGCAAAAAGGTAAAAGCTATTTGGGGATGTATTAACAAGAACAGAAGTGCAGTTCACAGAAATAAATAGGCTCTGCATTGAAGATTGTGTGACAAAGCAGTTTTCAGATATTTGGAGTTGTTATATAAAGTAGGGATTAAAATTGCTTTTTTTCTGGCCACAGGGGGCAGGAGTAGAATAATGTTTTGGAACTGCAGGGAAGCAGATTCAGGTTGGATATGAGGAAGAATTTCTTGACAGTAAACCTATATCAATAGAATAGAATACAGTAGGTTGCCCCCTGAATTGGTACAGTTACATTCACTGGATGATTTTAAACATCTGTTCAAAATGTTTTAGCAGATCTTTCCCTGAATGATATTTGGAACAGATGCCCTCCACGGTCCTTTCAATTTGTGATGCTTTGTGATGATTTTACTCCCATTCACCCATGCTCCATAATTTCCCTTGGGTTAAGCATTCTTCATTAGTATGTAACCAAGATTAACTGGGAATTCCATATTAAAATCTATGCTAACTGGAAATGGCTATCTATCCGGGTTTAGAGAACACTTTTAGCTTAAGAGGAGTCTCAGATGACTGTTAAAATTTTGCGTGATTCTGAAAGAGATTGGAGAAGACACTTAGTTGCCTTAATTTGCCCCATGTAGTATATATGCTTTCTGGCAGAGAAAAGTAAGAGTAGATGAGGGGTGCCAAAATTACAACTCACTGAACCCTTCATGAAATTTCAGATTGTTCATCATCCCAACATTATATGAAAATAATATAATAAATACTTTCACTTAAATTAAATTAAAATAATTTAATATAATATATAATATAAATTAAATATAAATTAATTAAAATAATTGAATAAATACATTAACTAAACATACTACGAAAACAATTACTACTATTGTTAATAATAATGGTTAGCCTCATCAACCCTTGCAGATGAGGGGGGGAAGAAATCGAGAAATATGGCATAAATACATACACTAACTACATTATCTGGAGAGAAAATCTCTAGAAAGAGAAAGCCAGAGCATTAATAACACATAATTTTTTCCCCAATTTTAAACTAAAATTGAATTCCAGGAAGGAGCAAAATTAAAACCTTATATATGAGATCAAGATTTGTTGTACTTGAAGAACTGGTTTCATTCTTTCGTTTTGCACCTTTGGCTTTTCCTTTGTTTCTTTATATTAGTTGTTAGTTTTTAATCTCCTTAAAAAAAAAAAACTACACCCACCCACCCCCACACGATATATTATTATAGCATTATATTATATATTATTATACCAGTACTAATCTGCAATATATTATTATAGCATTATATATTATTATATTATATATTATTATACCGGCACTAATCTGCCAATGAATACTTCAGCTTCAACCATAACACAAGAGCACACAATAGATACAAACTCAAGGTAAACCGCACCAAACTTGATTGCAGGAAATACGACTTCAGCAAGAGTGGTCAATGTCTGGAATACTCTACCTGACTCTGGGGTTTCTTCCCCAAACCCCAAAAACTTTTAACCTTAAGACTGTCCAGTATTGACCTCACCCCTTTCCTAAGAGGTCTGTAGGGGCCGTGCTAAATTTTAGCGCACTAACGTGCCTACCGTCCCTGTCCTATTGTTTCTTTTTATTTTTCTTATATGTACCCATTTCATATATTCATAACTATATATATACTTATACCTATTATCTTGTAAGCAATTGACAAATCAAAATAAATTAATAAATAATCTGGGCGGCTACAGTAATCAAAGCGTGGCACCTTCAATAAATTAATAAATAATCTGGGCGGCTACAGTAATCAAAGCGTGGCACCTTCAGATCTGAACCGGCAGGGATAAAACTACATTTCCCACAATGCTTTTCTCCATCCGAAGCGTCTGCTTTGCTCCCTGCGTCTTTTGACAAAGCTATTTCTGCCGCACAAAGTGGAGCTCTCCAGGCTGACCGGCTCCCCATTTCTTCAAACAGATGCTGTGACGCATAATTGGTGGTAGGTGAAAGGGTTGCGGAAAGGAAAAGCAAGCAAGCAAGCCATCACTTTGGGGCTGGGGCTGGGGAAAGCATGGGAACCTGGCAGATGAAAGCAGAAAGCTGGGAAGATGAATCTCTAAGGCTGGAAGGAACAGGAGGTTTAACCCAAACAGCATCTAGAGAGCAGATTCCCCCCCCCCCGCCCCAAATAAATACACAGAGATGTCCCGATAGCCCAGATCTTGGGAGGCTATTCCTGATTTCTTTTTCCCTTTCCAATTTAGCCTGTCGCCATGCGGCTAGCAGAGTAGCATCGCTCCTGCGCCGTGGGGATTTGGCAGAGGGCATGTTGGCTTCCAAGAACAAAACATGACAAACAGGTAAGCCAGAGATACCCCGCTTTCCAATGGCCAGCCTCAATCGGTTGGCCAAAGTCGTCTCAGGGCACCTTCCGAATGGCGCGACCCTTTAAATACAGTTCCTCGTGTTGTGGTGACCCCCAACTATAAAAGTTTGCTCGGCTTCATAGATTCGGCTGATAGAACTTCACAACAAATAACACATTGCGGTTTTTCAATTCCTGCTGTAATTATTGAGGTAAAACCATACCGTAAAAAATCATCACTATATTTTCTTTTCTTAATGTTCTACTGTACACGATCCATTGCCATGGGGGGGATGGTTTGCTAATGTAAATAATATATAACAATAGCTTTAATAATACAAAAGATGATACATGGCATAGTTCAGTCAATACAGTTCGTTAGAGTTTCCTATCATTTACCATTCTCTGTGTTGTTTTTTTACATACCTGTTATTATCACAAGGGGGTAGTATTCACATCAACCACAGCTGAATATAAAAAGGCAGCTCAGCATCCAGATTAAGTTCCCATGGTACAGATATATATATATTTTTTGCAGTAGTTGATGATTTTACAGTACATGATTTTACATTTACCCAGTAATTATAATTCATGAAGTGTCATTTTACCTCCAATACTGCTGCTTTCAACACAGTAACTGCTTTTAACAGAGTAACTGCTTTCAATACAGCAGCTGCTTTCTACACAGTAGCTGCTCTCTACATGTGTGTGACTGGTCCGCATAAGTACATTATGACGCCAATCCTGTCACATACACCTGTATTTGTATGGGGTCTTTGTGATGGGGTTGGCGCGATGATGTCATCAGGCTGGGTACTCGTATGTGGGCGTATCTGCATGTGGGCAGACCCACCTGGAGACGGATAAAGCAGTGTCTCGGTTCCTAAAACCATCGAAAATATGTGTTTTCTGATGGTCTTAGGCGACCCCTGTGAAAGGGTCGTTCGACCCCCCCCAAAGGGGTTGCGACCCACAGGTTAAGAACCGCTGCCTTAGGGGAAAAGGTTTGGGAATAGTGGGAGTTGCAGAAGAGCTATGAAAAAGAAAGAAAAAGGAAAGGAAAGGCTGTGCTAGGAGCTGGATGGCCCTGATGTATCTCATTGATGTCTTTTCTTGTAGGCATCCCCCAAAAGCCAGAAGGGTCTCCATCCGTTCCTTACTCAGCCAGTGAAAAATATCCTCATGCGGCTGCTTCCAAAGATGGGGCTCACGAACCAAAGTCTTCATGAAATAAAATAAAAAGGACAGCAAAGCGGAAAATGACGGTTTGTTTGACAAAATCCTGCGGATGCAGGGAGAGAACAGACCTGAGGAATCTCTTACTCTGTCCTCCTTTCAGTTGTTCCATTATGACAAATAAACTTAAATAAAGAAGCGTTTCACGCATTTTAAAAGAAAGAGTGAGTGTTTAACAAAAGGTGATTTGGCTGCTGATGAGTGGGGGTGATCTTGCAATACAGAATTCACATTGATTCCCTTTTGACAGTAATACTGAGCAATCTGAGATTGGGAGGTACAGAGATTTCATTTGGCAAATTGTGGTAATGGAATGGAATATAGTATTGTACATTTTCTCTCCCTCAGAAGATAAAGTTCTGTCTTGCATAAAAGTATCACAGGTTTAAGGGATCTACTTTGTTATTTAATAGAACTTGAGCAGGTTTGATGAAAAACACTGGCAGACTTGACATTACTAGAATTTGTTAACACTTTCATATTCAGATTTGTTTTAAGTGCTGCTTGATATTGTTACAGTGAATCTTCGTGAAGCATACAATCATTTTTTGTTACTTGTGTTATTTAATAATCTGTTATTAATAGCATATTGTTATTTTTACATATTCAAACATACCTATGAACATACATTCCTCTATTTAGTGCAACAAGGGTTTGTTGCCTTTTTGTCATAACTTTTTATTGTTATTTTAAAAATATTTTCCAGAGCTTTAGTGTTTTAATTATGCTTTTTCTCATTGTTGTGGGAAGCGCTTAGTAATATATAGTAATCAGCACCTGATAAAAGGAATATATAAATATGGCTGCAACAAACTGAGAAACTATCTTTCCTGTTAGGTGATACATGCTCACCCACTATACAACATTTTTTTTAAAAAAACAATGTACCTAGAATAAAATAGTCCCCAACCAAAGAAGCTTGTTACATAAATACAGGACAAATACTGTACAGTATCGTAGCTAGGAAAAGGGTAGCAAAAAAAGATGGAGACAGATGGATTCCTGTATTCTGCAGCTGCTGATTTTCTGCATACATAATTTGCTTTGAACAATTTTAAAAACCCATGAAGGTTCTGCTATTAGCCAGACACTGAACGCTAAGAATATTACAAAAACAATCAAGCTTTAAGCTTCACAAAGTCTGATAATTTTAGAACTGAGCAAAAATCTTTTTTTAGACTTTTTAAAGAGTACAATGCCTGGAAGGAATCTGTGGTTTGAAGTGACCCGCAAACCAGCCATATCATGGTTTTTTCAGATTTATGAGGAAACGTGAAAGAATCTCCTTGGATGAACTATTTTAAGGAACAGCAATATTAAATTGACTGGAATCTTAATTAAAGGCTGCACATTTATGTTGCATTTTTGAATGCTTGTGCATGTAATGGCAGATAGATTCATTTTATGCCTTCCATTATTTTATGTAATCCAAGGTGGAGTGAGGGAATAAAAAAGATCAAAAAGCGAAACTTCTTTTCTCAGGGGGAAAAAAAGGTCTAGTTGCCTTTTGAAAAAGCACCTTTGAGGCAACTATGACCTGGATGACTGAGAATATCCACAAAGGTTTTACCCATCCTTTAATAGATCAAGGTCTAATTATCCATACAATTAGATTTTGCAACAGTACAAAAGTAGGGAAGGGGGAACTGGTAGGTGTATAACATTTACATTTTTATTCCTAGAAAGCTCATTTGCTGTGAAACACAGGTTTGGTTACAGTACTAAATGGATTGAAATTTAAAAATAATGCCAATTAATTCAATTTTATAGATAAGAATACTAAAACTACTAAAGCTCAGAATAACCACTAGCAGAACGTATACTTTTTGAACGGCTCGATTTTTTTAAAGATAGTCTTTTTAAGATGACCTACTCAACCCCATAGGAAAAAAAAAAGTGGAAAAAAAAACTACAATTCCCAGAAGCACAGAGAACGAAGCTACATGCGCGTGCGCCGTTTATCTGCGTTTAAAACGCTTTTTGTACGCATGCGTGCGTCACGTTTAAATACTCCAACGCACGTGGCCGGGATAGGGCTTACCTGGTTTCCCCACAGAATTCGTTGGCGCACAGCGAAGCAAGACCCGTCCGTCGTGCTAGAATTCAACGTATGACGAGAAGCGCCTAACCCCCCGGTCAGACCTACGCATGCGCGTTCAAATGTTTGACAACCCCTTATATTAAACTGCCTTCCTCGAGGCTCTCGTTTGCCGCATGACTGGACCCACGCATGCGCGTTTCTTTTCCGATGCGCTTCCGCTATACCCTTACGGTTCCCGTTGGTGGATATGCCGGTCGGGTCCCGCCTCGTCTCTCTCATGGATGGGCAGAAGAGGAAAGAACAGGAATCCCATTGGGCGGCGCTGTTGCTATGGCAATAATCGACTGGGTGGAAGTAGGTGCTGGTAATAGTATATATAGGAAAGGCGGAAGGAAGATGGCGGCGCTGGTTTCGGAGTTGCTGCTTTTGAGCGATTCAAGCCGCTTCCGAGCAGACAACCTGCTGAGCAGCGAGGACTGGGGTGAATGGGAGAAGGAGCGGGCAGTACTGGGCCGAAGGAGGGGGCAGGGCCTATAGGCCTGGGTTATACACGGGTTTCAAGGCTTGGGTTGCAGAGGGGCCCTGCTAATACATAAGAACACTCTGTTGAAAACTCCGTGGCTTTTGACAGGTGATATTAGGCCCGTGTGCAACGGAGTATATAACTTTCCCGCCAAGGAAAAGCTTCACCTGTTGCATTTCTGCGTGTCAGGCTCTGAATTGAAGTCTTGACAGGCAGAACGATAACGGTCTTGGTCGTTAAAGGTTGTAGCATAAGGAATTGACTATTTAGCAGGAAGTTCTTCCAAATGCGCTTTGCCATTCATCCTTAAGGGGTTGCACAATAGGAGTTTTGTGGTATTTTTTTTTTTAATACCAGAGATCTGATTTTTTTATTAATATCAGATCTGATATGGAATAAGGAGGAGGTGTTTTTTTTCACGTTTTCAGTTCATAGGGTGCATTGCTTAAATGTTAGGGGAAACTTTATACACTGCAAAATAAATAGATATTCACACCATGTTAAATTAACCCGGCACCAAATGTTTTATGTGGCATGATTACTTTATGCGGCAACATGTTCTTTGTAACTGGCTTTATATAAGTGGTATTTCCAGTTTTGTTCTGGCTTGGGTGGCAGCTTAACTTAAGTACCAGGAAATAAAGTTAGAGGAAGTGTGTACAACTGTTACTGATTTGATGTTTATACTGATTTTTATCCACTATTGGATCCTTCCCAAGCACCTGCTATAGAATATAGAACATAGAATTCTTTATTGGCCAAGTGTAATTGGACACACAAGGAATTTGTCTTGGTGCAAATGCTCTCAGTACATAAAAGAAAAGATAAGCAGATGTTTGATTATTGTTATTTAGAGATAGTCAGCTAATTCCTCAGTTGCATTTTGCTGCTCTCCCTCCAGATGCAGGTCTTTACAACTGCTTGGATAATGATGGAGATGCGGCAGCTGAACTTTTCCCTTGTCTTGAACACAGCATTATGGACAGTAATGGTATCCCTTCTGCGGTGAGAATACCTTTGCTTTTAGAAGAATATTTTTTGCTTTCCAGTATGCCTCTGTGGCAGGACACACTTCTCAGCAATTTGAAGCCTTTCTTGCTCTTCCTCTCTCTATAACTTTATTAAAAAAAATGAATTCAATAGGCTTTAGCATCTTGATGACTCCCATCCCTGCCACTTGGGCTTTTTTGTTTGTTCTAATGTGGCTTATGCATTAAAAATGTGTGAATTAAAATGAGGCCTGGAAGATGTGTGGTGATGATTACATTCCCAACTTATAATGGCCGGCATGCCATGTGTACAATTTTGGATTGCATTTCCCAGAATGTTATCTCTAGCCTTGAAAGTCTTATTGAACTAGAACTCCAAACTACAGTAGTCCTCAACGTATGACCACAATTGAGCCCCAAATTTATGATGCTAAGTGAGACATTTGTTAAGTGAATTTTATGCCATTTTACAACCTTGCTGCAGTTGTTAGGTTATCATTGCAGTTGTTAAGTTAGTAACAAGGCTGTTAAGTGAATCTGGTTTGCCCATTGACTTCGCTTGTCAGAAGGTCACAAATGGTGATCACATGATTCTGGGACACTGCAACCATCATAAATATGAGTCAGTTGCCAACTGTCTGAATTTTGATTTATGTGACCATGGGAATGCTGCAATGATCATAAGTGTGAAAATAGTCTTAAGTCCCTTTTTTCAGTGACATCGTAACTGAACAGTCAGAAAATGAACTATTGTAAATCAAGGACTTACCTGTATACCTCCTCAGTTACACATCCACTCACTGCCATCACACTCTGTTCCTCAGATAGAAGGAGGGTCAGACTTTTTGTTTCTCATAGATGAAAAGCTTTATTTTCTATATCTTTCTATTCTAGCAGTTCGGTGATGGGTTTGATCTGGACATGGAAACTATGCCTCCAGACCCACCTTGGGATCCTTTGCAAGAATCTCTATTCCCAGGTGAGTATTTTCATGAAGCTGCAGGGTAGGCAGGTTATCAAGAATCTGTTGTAGAACTCGGGATACTGTGTGGGATTTGGTGAATCTGATTAAGTGGCCCGTGATTTAGAAACATTTTTATAAGGCCATTAATTTTTAAGCTGTTGGAAGATTTTGAAGATTGTGTTTTCTGCAAAAAAATTAAGACGGTATCATTCTGGCAATGATAAGAGGAACAGGATATTCATAAGTAAGGGATTTACCTTAGGCTATCCTACCATCTCAGCTTAATACAAATGTATGTATAACCTGCCTACTCGTTGCTATTTGGCAAACAGGATCAGAGACAAGTATTTCACCTGTTAGAGATCCTAGATTTTATCTCTAGTACCTCCTGTTTAAAAATGCACCTTTAGGAAGTCTTTGGTGAGTCATTGACAGCAGGAGGAGAAAGTGATGGACAAGGTATCTATATTTAGTAGCAAAATTCTTTTGAGTGGGAGGAAAAAAGAATGTTGTCTTTGTGGCCTGCTGCCTTCCCAGAAGCACCTAGCCGATCATTGCCCACGTGAGCCTTTGATCTTATCCAGCAAATAGCTTTTATTTCTGCTTCCTAGAATTGTTTTGGGTTGTGCAGAAATTTGTCTGGGAGTAGTTTTGTGCAGTCAGAGTTTAATGAGCAAAGTTTGTTTCTGTCCTGCATGAAAAAAACAGGAGCAAGTTTTTCAACTGATTGACAATTAAATTCCCCCTTGAAGGCAGAGCAGAGGAGATAAGAGGGTCACTTCCTCTTTCCTGTCTTCTCCCCACCTCCCCATTTCTGACTTCCTTTTTGATTAAGGCTGAAAGTTGCATGTGACTTGACAGTTTATCCTGTTGTCTGGGTATTATCTTGGCAGCGACATATTGCTTAAAAAGTAGATATGCTGCAGAACTAGTTAAAAGTCCATGAACTGCAAGCCACTTTCCACCTAATTAGAATTCTGTACCTATCCAAATTTAATTATTAGTGCAAATCTACAGAGGCATGTTCCTAACTGTTCTTTAAGTGGCATAGTTAAGCTGCAAAATGAGATATTTAGGAGTGATAGGAACTGTTCTGGAAAAGGATTAATTGGGCAAAGTCTACTGAAGACAGTAGTTGTGGTAGGTAGCAGCACATAGTTGTAGTATTAGCAATCGGCAGAGTGGTTAATTTCTGATCACAAAGTTACTTGTTAGTTTCTTCCATGCCTTGATTTTTGAATCAAGACAGAAGAAATGTGAATCTGTGGATAATCAGATTGTTTTATAATTCATAGAAGGGGGAAATAACCATGGCATTCAGTTCTTGGGTGAAACAAAGCAAGAAGTCTGACAGTTTCTCTTATTTGGGTTTGCTGTTGTAGAGTTTTACTTCTCCTTTAGGTATTATAAGCAGGAAGTATAGCTGCCTCATCATGCCTTCAGGGAGTTATAGAGCCTTTCAGGTGACAAGAATGAGAGATCTGCTTCATCTGCTGGCCCTGATGGAGGAAATTGGTGGCATAGTAGTTGAAGCTGAATAGGATTAGAGGCCCACAAAGATGGCTTCCTTGGGATTCAGCACTTAGGGCTGGCCTTAGAAATTGCAGGTGGGGAGGACGGGCTTCTATCTTATGATTTATATTGTTTTGTTTAGTATCCTACCGTGTTTCTCCAACAATACGGCCTCCCCCAATAGGAAGTCCCAGTATGATTTGTAGGCATAAAATCAAATTAAGCCCCTCCCCCCAAATTAAGGCCTATATTAAACATGTGAAATGGGGGGGGAATGGCGGGGGGGGCCCTTGCCGTTAGGAAGTACTTTTTTTGCATACCTGGATATGGTGCTGCCTGCATTGACTTCGGCGTTGGTGGGGTACTTCGTATCGGGAGACCTTCTTCCACCGTTGCTTTCCCTTCTCCCCATGCTGCCGGCATTTGGCGCAGCCACGTGTGGCCAGCCAGGGCTCCTCCCTGCAACTGGAGCCCGGGGGAGACACTTGGTTTCAGGCACTCCTGTCGTCTCCTTCCCTTCGCCTTCAAAGGCAAAGCCAATTCTTTTAAAAATGACATCCTACTATTGGTACAACAAAGCCTCCCCTTCCCGAGAGGGCAGCCCAACTCCATGTGAGGAGGTGAATTTCCTGGGGCCACAGCGTAGGATCGGCCCACCCTGGGAGAAGCGCCCAGCCGCCTTCCCTGCCTGGCGCCAGGCAGAGTGCAAAGAGCTTCACTTGGGGCGCCCAGCACAGCTGACAGGCAGGCCCTCCTGCCCAGCGGTGGAACTCTCGCCAAGGCAGTAAGCGCCTCCCTGCCGGGCCCTCTGCTCATCCTGCAAGGGCCACGCCAGAGCTGTGCGGGCTGGGCAGAGCCAGGAAAGCAAGCCTCAGGTGCACGCCAGCCTGCCACATGAAAGAGCCGGGCCAACCCGAGCTTGGCTTCCTTCCCAAGGCCCTCCAGCCCGAACCTGAAGGGGCCACCGGGAGAGGCTGCCCGAGGCCATGATAGCGCCCACCCGTCCGCAGACAGGGAGGCAAGGCGACAGCAGCACTGCTTCCCTGGGCGGCGGGTCCGGCAGAGAGAGGCCGAAGCCGCCCGTCCTTTAAACCCCTCGCCCAGCCCGTCCCCATCCCCACGCATCTCCAAATGTGCTGGCAGCTCCAAATGCTGCAGTGGCACAGGCATCAGGCAGAGGCGCTCACTCAGCGGGGCTCAGCTCGGAGGAGGATGCGGTGCTGGCCGTCTCCTTGCCTCCCTGTCCATGGATGGGTAGGCGCTATCACTGATGACAACTAGTTGCAGGGAGGAGCCCTGGCTGGCCGCGCGTGGCTGCACCAAATGCCGCGGTGTTGCTCTGAATGCCGCGGCAGCACGGGGAGGAGGGAAAGCAACGGCGGAAGGTCTCCCAATAAGAAGTGCCCCACCAACGCCGAGGTCAACATCCAAGCTGTCGCCGCCCACCTGCCCGAGGATGCAAGGGTGGGGAATTAAATCACCCCAAAAAAGATGGCCTAGCCGTTTTTTGGGGGGGGGCGTGTCAAAAACAAATAAGGCCCGGCCTTATTTTGTGAGAAACATGGTAGTATGATTTATGTTGATTATTTATGATGAATGTATTTTTATGATGACTATGATCATGGTTTATCATGTTGCTTTTATATGCCCTGAGAGCCTATGCACTGGAGACAAATTCCTTCTGTGTCCAATCACACTTGGCCAATAAAGAATTCTATTCCTGTTCCGTTCCATTCCCTATTCTTTCTATTCTATATTCTATTTTATTCTATGTTCTCTTCTCTTCTACTCTACCCTACTCTACTCTACTCTACTCTACTCTACTCTACTCTCTACTCGATAGTGGGTGTGAGATTCAAAGAGGGAGTACTTAACAACCACTTTCCTTTTGTCTTGGATCAGCAGGCTGGTGGTAAAAGTGTCTTAAGTCATTCTCATTTTTTTAGAGTTGCAAGTAAAGTCTGAGCCAGTCTCCCCTGCCTCATCGCATTGCTCCGATTCATCTGTGGCCTCCTCCGATTCTTCTGTGGCAGGCTCCTCTTCGGCCGAACTCTCAGAGCAGGTAGGTCTTCTCAGACCTCTTGGTAGACAACCCCAGTGCCCAAATGATAACACCCATAAAGGCAGTTGACGATGAACGACCGCACCTGGGGCCAGAATTTCCATTGCTAAGCAAGACGGTTAAGCGAGCTGAACTGATTTTATGACCTTTTTTTGGGGGGGGGGGGCATATTGTTCAAGCAAATCACTGCAGTGAAATGAATCCTGCGGTCCTTAAGTGAACCTTAACTTTCCCCATTGACTTTGCTTGCCGGAAGCTGGCTGGGAAGATTTCAATCTGGGTACACGTGACCCGGGGATGCTGCAACTATTGCAAACACTGTACATGCCAGTTGCCAAGAACCCAAATGACACTGTTTTCATACACTGTAGCCACTGAAAATGGTTGCTAAACGAGCAGTCGTAAACTCCAAGTACCCCCAATTGTTTATTTTACCAGGCCCCATGATAGCGAAGAAAGTCCTCCCTTACTCCATATAACCAGTTTGTCAGATCCATGTATCTGCCATTCTTCCATGGAAGAAGAAGGGTGGTGGTGTTTGATACAAGTACCGTATTTCCCCATGTATAAGCCACCCCTTTTTTCCAAAATTTTCAAGCCCAAAATGTAGAGGGGTGGCATATACAAAGCAGGTACACTTTTTATACGTGAAAAATGCATAAAATAATAAAGTAGGAATAAACTGGTTTTCCAGCAGTATGCTATACTTTTTTGTAAAAATTGTACGTGATGATACGATTACGAGTGCGAGTACGCGATAGAAATGCATACGCTAGGCATCGGCCTGAATGCTTCGTTCCTACTCTCGTTCCGATGCGTAGATTGCTAGCGTTGCCCGCACCGCTTTCGGCGTCATGACCGAAGTTGTAGATCTAGACGTCGAATTTTGTTTCTTTGTAAATTTTCTTTCTTCATAACTTGTTTCTCTAATAAAATATTTTTTTCAAAACTTCACAGTCCAAAAATTGGGGGGGTGGCTTATACAAAGGGGGTGCTTATACATGGGGAAATACGGTAATCCTTTTTGGTGTAATCTGAATAGCTTAATTCTTGTACTGAATCTGTATAACCTGCACACGATTTTACAACTTAGGGACTGGAGCCCAGATGCCTGGAAGCTTGTCACCTCTTGGAGAGATAGCAAAAGGAGAAGGGCCCATAAAAATCTCAGCTCAGAAAGAAACTTCCTGGGAATCTCTTCTCAACTACCTACCTAGAAAAGTGGGTGGGGGGGGAAAACATGTTGCTTCTTTGTAGTGATGAAATCCACACGGGACTAAGAGGAGGGGTTCTAACTCCCTTTATCTAAGCCGCATGCCTGGAGGCATATTAGACCCGGCTATGAATAGCACCTGGATATCTTCCTTTTTGAATAAAGAATTCCTTTTGAAATACCCAGTGTTCAAAAGTTCATTCTTATTGTCTGAACGTGAGAGAGTGTGGGCTTGGAGTTGGAGATACTAGTTGTCATCAAAAATTTTCAGAAATAGTAAATAAAAACAATCCCGTAAAACATATAAATGCCCTACTTTAAAAAGGGAAGGTTTTTTTGTTTTTTTTTAACAGATGCTTGAGAGGCATCAGAATGGAGAAAACTTAATGCTTCTGTTGAGACATTCATTTTTCTTTCAGGTCGCTGGACCAGATGACGTGATTGGAGTAAAAACAGAGCATCCTCCAACCCCTCCGTGCATGTTTGGAGATGTCCTTTTACCTCCCTTTGGAACTGTACACATAAACGTGGTCCCGGCTTCCGAGACAGGTATGCTGGGGAGAATTGTGTAGCAGCAAGCATTTATTTCTTGCTTCTGCGCTGAATTTAGTAACCATAGATAGACTTCAAAGCTTGCATTGGTGCTCATAGCCAATGAAGAAGACACAAATTCTGGTGCTGTAGTGTCCTGTGCATAAAAAAAAAATATCTTCCTGAATGTTGGCGATGGGTGGGTGGGTTGGGAGGTAAATAATGTTTGTCAGTGACAATATGCCGTTTTCTTTTTGCCTGTTCTGTTCAGATATTATTTATCCTCCCCTTCTCTTTAGCTTTCCTGTCTGGGTGGGGATGAGGCCTTTGAGGCGATGTTTCTCTTGATGGATACTTTGTGTGATCTCCAGTATGTGAATTGCCCATGTCCCTGACATCCACTTGAACAGTTTAGAAAGTGTTTGGGTAATTGCTTTTGCAAGAGAAACTGCCAGAAAATATTCCAGATCTGTAAAGCCCATCAGGAAAAAAAATGGGGAAAGATGTCCAAGAAAACGTCAAAGGAAAATCCTTTCCATATTATTCCAAAAAATTGAGTTCAAGATTCCCACTCCCCCCCGAAAGCTTCTCTTAGTTTATTTTTAGAAAGGAAGTGACATGCAAACAAGCACAAATATTAACATATTTGCTTTAAATAGAAAGAAACATCATGTTCTGTTCTTTTACTTGATGTCTGAGCCTTGATGTCCCCTACAGATTTTTCACATTCTCCGGGTTGCCCTTCCAGTTCTTGGCCTTGAATTTAGTTTTTTGAGCAAAACCAACATTTTGTATTTGCACATCAGCTTTTATAATTTAAATCATAACAGTTAGCCCCTCACCCACACTAGTTGGAATGTTAGTGAATGTTCATGATTTGTTAGCAAAAATCTAATTTTCAGTTAAGACTTTTTTTTTAGTTACCGTGTTAAGTACTTCTGATAACAGATTGGATAAATGTTATATATCTCCATACATATATATTTTTTATGTTTTGTTTCCTTTTTAAGGTTTCTTTTATAAGTTTGTGCGTTCCTTTCTTTCATTTTTTTCCGTTAAAAGGAAATCTATCAAATGGCCTCATTTGAAGTAGATAAATAATACGGGCATAATTAGTGTCAGAACTGAAGTCACTGAAAAAAGGGAGCAATAAATATATGATCTCTCATTTATTTCCTGTTCTGTTTTTTTTTCCTCCTTCAGGGTAATAATAGCTGAGTCTTTCCCAACTCAAAGTGGCTTCATCAATACAATTAATTGAGTAAGAGTTTAATAGATTCTTACAGGTTGTTTTGACTACTCAATTCTCTTTTAGGGAAACCAGCAGCTCCCTATAAAACAGAGAGCATCCTTAGTCGGAAACCCCCCATTCAACCAAAGCCAGTCGTGGTGACCACTGTCCCAGGACAGCCAGCCACCTCTTCCAGTAAGACCATCTTGTTGCAGCCAGTACCTGTAACCCAATCGCAGAGTGTCAACCCTGCAATCTCAGGTAAGCTGATCAGGAGGACTTTATTTTTGGACATTAATGGAGCAGTTTCCGGTAGCTGAATGTGTACAGACTGGAAACGTCATATGGGTTGGTGCATGGGTTTCTTCGCTTTGGATGGGTGTAGGACATTCTGAGGAAATAACTTTTGTTTTCTTATCTGAAGATTACGGTTTATGTGAAGCAGGATTGTGGCTTTTTTTTTTTTGCCTTAGTTCCAGCACAGAGTGTTGTGATTTCCCAATCTGAGCTGCTGCATCTCCCAGTGTCTGGTTTGATCAAGGTTCAGTCTCCAGTAAAGGAGGTTCTCTCGCCTAAACCAGCCCCCTCAGTCCCCAAGCCAGAAGCTAAAACTATCATCCCTGCACCAGCACAGATAGGACCCTGCAACCAAGAGATTGATGTAAGTTTGAAATCCTTAGTTCCAGAGCGTTTTCTCTTCCAACGACATCAAATCCTGGACCGATTCCAATAGAAGAGAATCTCTGTAGCTCAGCAACGAAATGTGAGGTCTTTGGAGCGTTATGAACTTGGTTTATTTGCTTCCAGATGTTTGGTAACATCATCAGTGTTGTAGTGAAGTTTGTTGTTAGTTTATAAACATTATCATGCCCTACCAATGTTGGTGGAGATGTGTTTTTCCCCCCTTGGCAGTTCCTTGATTAGAATATTGTTTTCTGCTTGAAACAGAAATCAGGAAAGCAAACCCTACACTCACTGATTCTGCTGATGTTACCTAGTATTACTGAAATGTCTGCAAATAACCAAGCTCACTGATCACCAAGGACCCCACATGGGCAGTTTTACAGGCAGGTCATATCAGGAATAGCCATGGGATTCTGTTAAATCTCCTACATTTTAATGATCTCCATAACAATAAGTACAGTAGCAACAGTTTGGAAATTTACAGTACATGTTGCTAATTGTTGTTGCAGGAGAGAAAACAAGATAAACAGGATAAGTTTTACTTAGTGAACAAATGAGAATATTGAACTAAAGTTCAGCAGAGATTCTGGAGGATCCAAAGAGCTCTATGTGACCTACATTTGGTGAAAAATGTAGAACTGAATTTCAGAAAAAAAAGCACAGAAAAGAAAATGTGTCCTTCTTTCTTTTACACTATGGACATGAATATATTATTTTCTCTACTGATTTGTTAAAGATCAAGGTCTTGAAAAGGCAGCAGCGGATGATAAAAAATCGTGAATCAGCTTGTCAGTCCCGCCGAAAAAAGAAGGAATACCTCCAAGGATTGGAATCCCGGCTGCGAGAGGCCCTTGCAGAGAATGAGAGGCTACGGCGTGAGAATGCTCTTCTTCGGCGCCGGCTAGATGGTGTCCTGGATGAGGTGAGCCCTTCCACTAGGAAGGAGACTTGTGGCTTTTTTATAAAAGGCACATTGTCATGATTAGCTTCCATGTCGTGGGGATGCTAGCTGAGAACTTTTAGATTTTCAGATGGGGTATGCAACAGAAGATTGTTATGTTTGCTTACATCTACCTCACAGCTGAAACGCTGTGGTTCAGAATATTAGCAAGCTAGCCATGTATCTCTGGAAAAATCTATTTTGATTCATTCTCCACCTTTCTTTTTCACTGAGCTAGGGAGATTTCCTTACAGATAGATCTCGAGTTATAACCCTAAGTCAGTGGTCCCCATCCTTTCCAGCTAGGTGGCCTGATGTGTGTGTGTGTGTGTGTGTGTGTGTGTGTGTGTGCATGCGAAGGTGATTATGTGCGAGCGGCAGGTGCGTGCATGAATGTGCACAGCTCCATTTGCGCAAGCTCACACAAATTGAGCTTTGTATGCAAGCAAGAGGGCCTGCAATTCGCGTAAATGGAGCTGCGTGTGCACATATGCATTCACCATTTTTGCGGCCCGGTTCAGAACTGTAGCCTGGGGGTTGGGGACCTCTGTCCTAAGTGAGCGCAGAATTACAGTTGTAGCTCATGCTGGTCATTAACCAGGTCAGCATAGGACTGACTGAATTTTGTAACATTTTTTGTTCTGATCATTAAGCGAATCTGCAGCCATTTACCACAGCCTCATTAAATGAACCTATTGTCCACAATGGATTTTTTCGGCTGGAAATGGTTTATGAGGTAAATTGTGGTAACGTGACCATGGGAAGCTGCAAATGGCCGTAATGTCGGTTGATTGCTGAGTGTCCAATATGTGATCAGGTGACCGGGGCGGGGGGGGGGGGGGGCTTGGCTGTCAGAACTTCATAAGTATTTTTGAAGTATTTTTTTCATAAGTATTTCATAAGTATTTTTTTCTCCATTGTAAACTTCAACCAGTCCCTAAGCAACTAGCCAAAAAATGAGGATTACTGGTATTTTTGATGTCTTGAAAATAATACCATTTACAAAATTAATATGGTACATTAACCCACAAACCAAACAAATCACTTTAATATTATATATGAGTGCAGTCATCTAATTCCTCATTTTTCCTTTTACTGATAGGATATATAGAGAGTATTATTCTTTTACTATTGAGCTGGCCAGTTCCTAGGTGCTTGTGCCTTCATGTTTTGAAACATATCCCATATATTTGGAGACTTTAGGGTCCTGTTGAGAATGCTGATATGACCCTTTTGTTCTGACAGGTTTCATTTCTCCAGTTCTGATGGCTGTTAGCAGGATAATTTAGGTGCACTATTGTAAGACTTGAAAAACTAGGTTGGGGACAGATTGTCCTGGAGAAAATCTATCCATGTGGTCACTAAGAGCCAATATCAACTTGATGGTACAATATCAGTCAGGATAACTTAGCAATTAGTTGCTCTGGTTCAGCATTTCAGCCAGGAGTTGGGAGAAGCCAAAACCTTCAATCAGGCCATTCCGTTAGAAGGAGCTTATGTAAATTTTGAATGCGATGTGTTGTGATGCCTGATGATTCGCCTGTCTTCCCGTATAGAACAGCGACCTGAAGTTTGGCTCCGGGAACCGAAAAGTGATCTGCGTCATGGTTGTGCTGCTCTTCATAGCCTTCAATTTTGGGCCTGTCAGGTGAGACTTCCTGGCGCTTTGCGGGGTTCCATTCTCAGGTTGTGAGGTTGTGTTGCTTATCATTCTCTGTCTGGAAGCTCTTTGAAGTTGTTGAACTGCAGGGACTGTTCAGCTTCATCTGCTGTAGGTATGCATAGACAATGGTCCCTCAGACATGTTACTATTTGTTCAATAAAATGGCTCCAAAGGATTTCTTTTCATGTAAACCTTCTGAGAAGAATATTGCCTGTCCGTTGAACTCACTTCTATGGAGATATATAGGAGACTATATAGGAGATGAGCAAGTACACATCAGGGTGGGGTTAAAGTTTAGAGTCCTAAGATTCCCCAAAGAGACCTAAGTCCAGCCCCCTATGAATTCCATTGACCCTTATCTAAGGGCCAATTCAGCTTGACTGTTAGTAGATCAGATTCATGTCAGGCACAAGAAACCAGGAATAGGAATAGAATTCAGTTTATATCATGTTACCTATATGCAAGAATCTGATCTACTAATGGTCTAGCTAAATTGGTGCTAGCAAAAGCGTCAATGGAATTCATGAGAGCTGGACTTTGGCTTCTTGTGAGAACCTTAGGACTCTAAACTGATAACGTATTAACCCTCCCTTGCTGAATGGAATTTAATAGAATAGAATTCCAATTCCAATTCCATTCAAATCTTTATTGATCGAGTGTGATTGGACACCCAAGGAATTTGTCTCTCAGTGTACATAAAAGATATAAGTGATAAATCATGGTCATAATCATGAATACATTCATCATGCATCATAAGATACAAGACTTAGTGATAGTCATAGGATACTAAATAAGCATATCAACATAAACCATATTAGGAAACTAAAACAATATAAACCATACAGATACAAGCAACAAGGTTATAGTCACAAATAGAAAAGGAGATAGGTTGTAGGAAGGGTGAGAAGAATAGTAATACAGTCTTAGTAAATACTTTGACAGTGTTGTGGGAATTAGTTGTTTAGCAGAGTGATGACAATGCCGAAAAACTGTCCTTGTGCCTAGTTGTTCTGATGTGCAATGCTCTATAACATTGTTTTGAGGGTAGAAGTTGAAACAATTTATGTCCAGGATGTGAGGGGTTTGTAGATATTTCGCATCCCTCTTTTTGACTTGTGCAGTATACTGGTCCTCAATGGAAGGCAGATTGATAACAATTGTTTTTTTCTACAGTTCTAATTATCCGTTGAAGTCTGTGGTTATGTTATGTTATGTTATGTTATGTTATGTTATGTTATGTTATGT